TGTCTGGCCTGTGAAGTGGCAAGGACAGTTTTGGCTCTGAATTCGATAGACTACGCCGGACTGTATTACAGTTCACCATAGCCTGAAAAAAGTTAAAGGGACTCTTACAACCCTTCTGGGCTCAAAACCGTCTGTTTAGCAATAGAATTTGTTAACTTTGGACCACGGACGAAATTTATCATCGTAACACTGCCAGAAGAATGGCCGTCGGCAAAAAAGGAATGTCAGTCGAGCGTTACCTTCTACTCTTTTTACGCAGCTCAGTTTTTGAATCTCCTAAGTCCTCGATTACTTTCTTTTCTGACCGGTTTATGTCACGATTTGAAGTACAATTCTTCCTTACAAACTTAGCTAACAGAGGTCGCTTCCTCAAAAATTACTACTGGCTAACTTAGTGTTGACGTATGAACCAAAAGTTAGAAGATGCCTGCACATAGATAGTCGGAGATTAATAGTGACTTTGCTGACAGAGTTGTTACCGTCCGCAACTGCGAGTCATTGCGTTGTAGTCAAGGATTTGATCCTCTTAGACGGACCTTCTTCGAGCGGCAGATTAATCGTTGGTACTCCGCCACCAAAATTTCTCGTAGTCAGCTGGTTGACTGGCCTTTTACTCAAATTTTAGGAAAGCACGAAAGAGTATTTGTGCGACGAAAGGACTAAACTCTATGCCCAATGACATGAGACAATATTTACGAACTTTCCGTGAGATAAGACGATCCATCTCGTCAGGTAATTTTCGTATGGTATCCTTTCAGCGAAATCGAGGTCCTGCGTAACCTTTAATGTCGACTGCAAGTAATGAAAGAAAGTATTAGTAATTCTCAGAAACGCGAAAGCAGCGGCCAAAATTGTCAAATTTTCACTAGGCCTCCCCCCAAAAAATGCTAAGTACACAGAGATCCGTCGACGGCGTGCACTAATAAAGCACTTCTTAAAGAGGTAACTTATTAAGGAAAGTTTTCTTATTGATCCAAGGCATATTCGTTGATAAATTTTGTTGAGGACAGAAATTTGTATCGAAAATGAAGTCTGATGTTTGAATGAGTCTTCACATGTGACTCAAACGACCGTCTGCGTGAAATGGAGATCTTGAGCACTCATTTACTCGGTAAATGCCTTCCAGAACAGTCTTATTTTAAATTTCTCAATAGACAGGTAGTTCAAAATCTGTCTTTGTAGACGACTGGGTGAAATCACTGAAAATCATTAAGTAACTGGCAAAATTTCAATGCCGATTTAAAACTTTACGTAATCTAAAATGAAGGAAATGTATAAATTAATTTAACGATAGTAAAGTTTTCTTCATAAACACAAAATAGTACGTTTACGATCACGCCTGTCAGTTCTGTTTTAATTTTTAAGGCACCAAACGGCCTCATTGCATGTTACCTAATGAAATCTTTTGTTCTTACGACGTCCCTATCGGTGGAATCAAGCAAAATATAGTTTCTCATGTGGAACCCAATCCTATTTATTTCAAACTAATAAAACGAAGGAGGACTCAGTGTAAAACTGTTTTGGAATCTACACTCAGCATGTAGACAGTTGACAAACCGTCATATATGAAATCACACTACTTATTAAACGGCATTTTGATGTACGCTTAACAAAAACACCGTAACTAGACGTTTTTGTTTGTCTTCTTTCATATTTACTACGTTTTTGGTATGGCTATACATTCTATATATCTAAAAATGAACTTTACCTAATAAGAGCCATTGTTGACGTTTTCGGGATACTGCGCTTTTTAAAAAAATGGGCATTTCTAAACAGCACAACACTGCGTATAATAGGTCTTTTATTTTTTGAATTATTTCAAACTTTTACTTAATTAACACAGATGTCGATTTGTGAGAGATTGGAAATCATTCGTAAATTTCGACACATTTCATGAGCTAGATCACTAACTGTACATAATCGCTGCCTGAGGCAGAGGTAACCTACATTGTTGGATGCAGTTTTACCCATGAAGTTCATGAATTACACCAGGAGCAGGCATGTTCACTCCAATTTCTCTAGAAGTTTTCGCCACTGAACTTTTGTAAAGTAAGATGTGCAAAGGGACAGGTAGCCGGTCGCTTGTGAAAGAAGGCATAGCAGCAAATTTTAACAAGCTTCCGAATGTTAGGCTCCAAGGTCCAAAACTACAGTGCTATTCTTCTCCGGTTAATAAAAACTTAAAAGGGGTGCAACCATAAAAATCTGCTTTGATTTCGCCGGACAGTGTCTTTACGTGGCTTCTACACAGTTGTTGGTGATAGAGAAGGACAAGTTAACCGTCACATAGTAGAGGAAGAGGGAGAACAAGGGGCTTGAATATATATACGCAGTTTGAATTGGACAAAGAGTAAATTTTGAATGTTCGGTAATGATTATGACATTGATGCATGTATTACAGTTCACCATAACCTGTAAAATGTTAAAGGGATTCTTACAACCCCCCAGGGCTCAAAACCGTCTGTTTAGCCAAATAATTCGTAAACGTTGGACGACTGACAAACTTTATCATCGTAACACTGCCAAAAGAATGGCTGGCGGCATAAAAGGAATATCAGTCGAGCGTTACCTTCATCTCTTTTTACGCAGCTCAGTTTTCGGATATTCTAAGTCCTCGATTACTTTCTTTTCTGACCGGTTTATGTCACGATTTGGAGTACAATTCTTCCTCACAAACTTAGCTATTAGGGGTGGCTTTCTCATAAATTATTACTGACTACTTCAGTGTTGACTGCACAAAGATAGTCGGAGTTTTCTGACAGGGTTGTTACCGTCCGCAACTGCGAGTCATTGCGTTGTAGTCAAGGATTTGATCCTCTTAGACGGACCTTCAACGAGCGGCAGATAAATCGTTGGTACTCCGCCACCCTCAGTGATAATATATCTTATCTTCCCGGCGAAAAATTATTTGCGGCACAATTTCTCGTTGTCAGCTGGTTGAATTCTGACCTTGCCGCGTCAAAAACTGGCATTTTACTCAAACCTTAGGAGAGCACGAAATAAGAGTTTTGAGACGAAAGGGTTAAACGTTATGCCCAGTGACGGGAAACAATGTTTACGAACTTTCCGTGAGTTAAGGGGATCTACCTGGTCAGGTAATTTTCGGTTGATATCCTTCAAGCGAAATCGAGGTCCTGTGTAACCTTTCATGCCAACCGCAAGTTCTGATTAGCGTTCGAACTGCGGAATGTTTGAGAACTCGCACATCCCGTACGGGACCTATCTCATGAGATCTGATAACGGAAACTGATGAGACAATTTTTGGGCGCCTTTAACGTGGCGCATTCGGTTAGCTAACCCACATTCTAATTGAATGTCCTTTTCTTGTTCATAAATTGTGTTTACGTAATTATATCAAGTAAAATATCAGTTACTTTTAGCAAAAATGGACGTTGGTTTACATTCGTGCAATTTCCTACGCTAATACTTGTCATAGACTCCGGTTACGCATCCCAGCAACTTTTACATTAAAGGCAAAACACACAGAAGCCAAAGCAATATTGAGCTTCTGTGACTCAGCATTTGTTGGCGTCTGGACTTTTGGACTGTCGAAGGTGTACTGTTAGCACTGTGTTATTGCACGAGCCAGGGGCAGTGACAGCAATAGCGGACACTCCGCATCCAATGACAACACGGCGCTAAACGACTCTGAAGAGAAAAATTACCAAACGATGGCTTTACATGCTGCAGCTTTGCAGGGCTTGAATATTTTTACGCAGATACAAGGCCTTTCAATCAATTTTTACGCAGTGTGAATTGGACAAAGAGTAAACTTCGAATGTTCGTTAATGATTATGAGAGAGATCCACGGACTACAGTTCACCAAAGCCTGTCATAGACTCCGGTTACGCATGTGAGCGGCTTTTTCATTGAGAGGATAGTAATTGACCCTCAAAAGTTTTATTTAACAGATTAAGCCACACTTGAAATTTTATTTCATGTCCGATGAAAACCATGGTTATTCACCTTCTAACAAAAAGGTTATTTTAAGAAAACCACAGGTTTTATCAATTCCTTTATGTCAAATTAGGAGATCTGTGCGATTTGGCGTCCTCAAGTGCAATAATAACACAGATAGGGATTTTTCGTTTAACTGGGATAAAATTTTTCTGCTGATGTCACGTAGATGACCACCACGGAATAGTCAATTCCAGCTTTAAACATATAAAACCCTTATTGTCGTGCAGGCTAGCTTCTATGCAGATCTCATTCAGAGACAGAACGCGCAAAACATTAATAGTTTGAGCAAAATATCAATATGTATATGGGCGTTCTGCCATGTATTCATAATTAAATAATGGAGTTTAAAAGCCACCAAAAACTCTGGAAATGGCCTGAATGTATAGAGAAAAGCACGTTCTTGCGTTCATGATAGAAAATATAAGTAATTTTTAGGAACGCGAAAGAAACGGCCAAAAGTGTCAAATTTTTACTTGGCATCGCCGTGCAAAAATGCAAAGTACACAGAGATCCGTCAACGGCGTGCACTAACAAGGCACTTCCTAAAGAGGTAACTTATTAAGGAAAGTTTTCTTATTGATCCAAGGCATATTCGTTTATGACTTTCGTTGTAGACAGACATTTTTTTCGAAAATGAAGTCTGCTGTTTAAATAAGTCTTCACATGTGACCCAAACGACCGTCTTCGTGAAAAAGGAGCGCCTGAACACTCACTTATTTGGTAAATGACTTCAAGAACAATCTTATTTTTAAGTTCTCAACAAACAGGTAGTTCAGAATCTGTCTTTATGGACGATCGGGTGAAAACACTGAAAATCATGAAGTATTCAGCAACATTTTGAGGCTGATTTGAAACACAACGTAATCCAAAACGAAGGAAAAGTATAAATTTATTTACCGGTGGTAAAGTTGTAAAGAAGAAGAGTCGAGCACTGAAACACTTCGTTTATTGTCCTGAGCTTTCAGACTCGTACAGGAGTCCATCGTCAGAGCAAGTGGTCAAAACAGGACAAGCGGCAGTTATAAGTCACGTAGGCTCAATCATCGACCGACGTCGCCCGCCTGGAGGTGACCACGCAGGGCTCTGTACGCCAGCGCCAGATCGATAAATCGATTGATTGAGTTCTCATCCGACGCCCAGGCTTCAATCAATTCTCCGCCTATTTTGTTTCCGGCGTGAGCGACTATTTTGGTGGCTGCGAAGTCAAACTCGTGACCCATTTCGTAGGTATGGGCGGCCACTTGTGATAATGCGTCGCCTCGCCGCACAGCCAGCTTATGTTCGCGTATGCGCGATACGAGTATGCGTCCAGTCTGTCCTGTGCTGTTACAGGGACAATTTTGACACGGAATGCGATAAACTACTCCAGATTGCTTTTTAAGTTTAAACCGGTCTTTGATTTTCATGGTTGAAGTACTGGCTCCCTGCAGAACATAGTTTGAGACGCAATCCAACAAAGGCTGAATATCTGCGGAATATATCGGCCTTTAAATCAGTTCAAAGTCTATATAAGCAAAGTCGCTGCGATAAATTAATGCAGTTTTCAATCTGTATTACGATAGACTTCAAAATTACCAAATTTTAAAATCTTCATTGCAAAAATACGCACAACCTTTTATGCAGTGATTTCGAGACTACGACAGTTGAAAGCATTACATTAGGTCTTGTTTCAATGTAAAAATAACTTCCTGTATTCCCGATGCACGAGACCGTGTATTTTTGAATGTATTGGTTCCACATGGCTGCAAATGAATACGTATGCTAAGGAATAGGCGGCGATATATGAAATCCGGTTCCACAGGCTAAAAGAAAATTGAGCCCATATTTAAAAACAACTTGTTTTGTAAGTTAGGGGACTCATGCGACAACAAAGTGTTCATTTTACTTCAGCGCCCTTGAAGTCGTCTTTGCAAATTAAAGTTGTGGGTAGTCACGATTTATTCAGTGTACATTACTTCATTGGTTTTTGATGCTTGTGGAAATTAACGCAGAACATGTTAAAGAATCAGAACTTCAGTCTCATTGCCTAGACAATAACGTTATGCAAAGTGTTGTGCTCTAAGCGGACAATATATTTTTTGAATGATTTTGAGTTAAGAAAGTGTTTAATACTCTCGAACTTTCAGCATTCACGTGTGTAGTATTGGTGCTGTTACCGTCTATAAAATAATAAATGTATACCTAACCAGCGTCTGATACAGTGAAGCATTTTTATGAGGTCAAAAAGACATAAGCGAAGTTGATGCCGAAAAATTCATGAAATTCAGTTCAAAAACTATAAGAGGAATAAAGACATAGTTTGTATTTTTGAATGCACAGAAAGCATTAACGGTGTATTAAAACACACCACCTGCTCCTTCGAATCTTGAATTTCAAAAGTAGGAATTCCACAAAGCACATTTTTAATAATCTAAGCTTCGGACGTCCATCAGAGGAAACATCAAGAATCAACAAATGTCCCCCCTCCTAGGTAGTGAGTTTTGCCGAGAAGCATACAGAGATAAACTTGAAATTATGCTTTGATTTACTCAACCTTGAAATAAATCTTTAACAACATCAACCAGTTTAAATGATATTAAAGAGCTTGAGTAAATCGCCTGCAGGCCTCGGAGCAAGGTGCAGCTCTCGAATTCGCATTTTGGCAATATTGCTGAATTTCGACCGACGGCCGTTGTTAAAGGGGGAGCAAGTTATGCAATCGGCCCGCTCCATTCAGGAATTTAAGAGAGTGAGACCAGAGACTGGATGAGGTTTTCCTGCGGAATATTTGTTCAGTTCGTCTGTCCACATCGGTAGAATTACATATGTAGCCCATATTACTGAAGACTGCAGCTTCAATAACCGAAAAATGAGAGTAGCTAAAATAATATAGAATGCTCAAACGAACGAAGGTGAAAATAGGCCTACGGTCCACAAGTTAAGCGCAATATCATGAATAATGAATGATGTTTTTAACTTAATCGGAAACGAATGTTTTGACTTTTATCAGGTTTATCTTCAGAGGACGCATTTTTTTTGACAGATGTTTACTTTGTCACAAGATCGACGAAGCACGCGCACCTAGGCTTTTAAAAAGTACCTATGTTGTGAATATGGTAGATAATCATATAATTGGTTGGTTTCAATGTGCTTAAATTACGTTGTCTCACACAGTTTATTCATAATCACACTAGCAGGCAATGCTTCATTTAAACTTTAAATAAAAGACGCGATTAACTCGGCCCTGACCAATTTAATCCGCAAATACAATTCATTTAACCACGTCCGTTCCTGTCTGCCAAAATTATGGAAAAACGTAAGTCCGGCGATAAATTTGCCAAGCAGCTTTACTCTTCTTTTATTTGGAATAACAATAGGAGAGCCTTTTCCCTTTCTAAATTGTATTTATCCAACAAAGGCTTAATAATTTATCTTTGCCAGTTGAAAAATAGCTGACCTGTGGGTACAAAAGCTCCAGCGGTCTCTCGTTATGTATACATTTTCCAAACAGACTTCTAACGCAATTAGATTGCATTCCAAAACACCTGTTTCATTGTCGCAGAAGAAAGGGTTTTGTGCGAATCTGCTTTCATTTCAGATATTTGCAAAATCCATTAATAATGAAAGGCGTCAGTCATCATTCTGCCCGTCATTGACCGTTCACGGAAAAATGTGCCAAGGGCTGTGCCTGAATAAGGCTATTTTTCATGCGGCAGAGCTGCAATCAGGGCGCTTCTTTTAAGTGAACGTCATGCTTACATTGTGATTATTGCTAACTTCAAGGGGCTTGAGTGATACAGTAGATGTGCAATTTACACTAAAGAAATATGCTGGATTGGAAAGACAACACTTTCACATTCAAATTTATAAGGAATATACAAGGCGCGAAGAAGAATCAGCGCCTAAAAAAAAGATTTGTCTTAATAAATCTATAAAACCTCGATTGCATAACTAAATTATTTCTGCAGCTCCGTTGGAAGTTCAAAAACTAACGATTTTAACTGTGTTCTTGAGCAAATTTCGGTGAATTCATAGTCTCAGATTTACTTATTTACAAGCGTTCTCTGCACTGTTTAATTGGTAAGATGTTGTTTAGGGCTATAACAAGTGGCTCTGCATTAAGTTCACTTGGGCTTTCGTGTGAGTTGACTATAGATGGTAGTGTGACGAATGCTAGACGGCGAATGCCATTCTTGGTCACCTAGCCTCCATATTCGTTTAAGACGTAGTGTGCCGGAGCATTTTTGTTAGATCGGCAAAAATCCCTACAAAGGCGTTCAGTTAAAGGGAATGATAAATAATTTTTGCTAGTGGAGACCTTAGTGCGGATTGAATTTGTTACTTCTCCCTTCCCATTTCGGGCATGTTTTTGTAACTTTATGATTATGGTTCTCCAGTGTTTTTTAAAAATTCCGTCTTTATGCTAGTTTAAGTATTTGTGGCCAAGACAGCTCGACCTTTTCAAATGCAGTACTACTATGCTCTAAAGCAGATAATAAGGCTCACTATCTCATGCGACATTAATCGAAATTCCGATATATGCATTCGATTCGAAAAGATTACTTATGTAGTTCAGAAGACAAAGATACAATCACTGGAACAAGAAGTTTATCAGCCCGAGGTTTCGAAGTTTTAGAATTGCGAAAATTCCCATAGCAGTAATCAGAAGACGAGGTGGCGAGCATACGTAGCTTTCGATAAATTCTCGTCGGGCCAGTACAGTTATATGAGAACGGGGTAGAAGAATACACGTCAGCGATAAGAAAAATCGATAAAAGTTCTACTTAAAACATGGGTTGGGTGTGGGAATGTGGGGGGGGGGTGTGGGTAATAGCAGTCATCGTCAGGGGCGGGTTGAGAGCGCGAAATGTAGCAGCGTTAGTCGACCTTCGACCACTGTAGGCGCGGAGCCTGAACGTGGTTCTTCTGCGCGCATAAGATTGGCTTTCGTAGAATGATATTACCGACAAAGACAAGGGAGACTGGAATGGCCATTTCTGGCTTATTAGCCGTCGTCAGCCAGCCATACCCAAGCCCGAAATGTGGAACACCCGAGCCTCGAACTCGCGACCTGTTGGTTTAGAAGTCAACGCCTCTACTCACCGGGCCACGAGCCCGTTGCCTTGTCGGTTGGCCTTCGTAGCATAATGGCGGCTGCTTCCGCTGTCGCTAACAGGTGCTGGCCTAGTAGCTTAGGGTAGCTCGATGGGACCTTATAAATTACACGAAAAGCTTCGTTTGGGTCCACACGATGTCTGGAATCGACAACATGCGCGAGAATGGCGCTGTCTATTCTCCTAGTTTCACCTTTTGCCAGCCATGCGGAAAGGTGTTCCCGTATTATCTTGGATAAGCGCCGACTCGTGCGACCAATATAACCTGCTCCACAGGAGCAAGTGAAGGAATATATGCACATTGAGGTGGTCTGCAGTGGCAACTTATCCTTACCATCTCCGCGTAAAATCGGGTTAGTAGAGAATGCTATTTGAACCCTTGCTGCTAGGAAGGTTCGCGAGACAGCTTGATCAAGGCGTCTTCTTAGGGTTCACTCGCGGCGTCCCCTTGGAAAGGAACCTTGAGGAACAAAGTCTTCTTTTCGGCGGTCGGTGTGGCGGGTTTTATCGGTCATTCAGCAATATTCTTTTCAATAAACCTTTCAGGATATCCGTTTTCGCGAAGGAAGTCCTCGATTTTTCTGAGCTCCTCCTCGATGCTATCTGTTGAGCAAATTTTTCTAGCCTTTGTGCCAAACATCGGACTAGATTTCATTTTTGTTGGAGGGGTACGAAACTGGTGAAGTTCGTGTATTGTCCAGACCAGGTTTTCTTCCGATAGACGCTTCTTCGGACACTCCCATCAGGTCTCCTGCTTAGAAGAACATCTAAGAATGGGAGCGAACCGGCCGTTTCCATCTCCAGCGTGAATTTGATCGATGGATGTGCCTGATTTGCTGCATCTAAGAGGGTTGTTACATCGGTTTCTGCAGTGGCAATGGCAAAGATATCATCAACATAGCGACCGTAATGTTTAAGCTTATCGATCTGTTTGCTTAGTTGGAATCTCTCCAACTTTCCCATGAATACATCGGCTAGGAGAGGTCCAAGGGGTGAGCCCATAGCAACGCCGTCTACTTGTCTATAGAGTTGGTTGTCGAACAGAAACTGCACATTTAATGTGCATCTTAGTAGTAGTTCCTTGAGTGAATTCGTCGGAATCCCTATTTCCTGCTGGCTGGCAGATAGAAAATCACAGAGGTAGTCAACTGTGTCGGTGACCGGAACGTTTGTAAAGAGTGATGAGACGTCTAGCGAGAACATCACCATGCCGTTGACGTTAAGGTCTTTGATGTCGTCAATGAATTCAAAGGTATCTCGATAGCTGCGTGGTGCTAGCTGACGCTGTACAGACTTGAGTTTCTCTGCTAGCCACTTTGCTATCGCATGATACGGAGAGTTTCGCATGTCTAAAATCGGACGGACTGGCAGGCCTTCCTTGTGGATCTTAGGTAGGCCATATAGTCGAGGAATATGTGTGCCGACTGGTCGAAGCTGTTCAAGGTCACGGTCGCTTATGTGACCCCCTGTGTGGAGCCTTCTTAGACAATCAGTCAGTTTTGTCTCTACTTCTTCCGTGCAATCCTTTTCTTTGTCTCCCTTCTTGAATTTCTTCTGGTCTGATAATATGGACTGTATCTTCGCTACGTAATCTGATCTGTTCATTATAACGACGCCTGTTCCTTTGTCCGGTCTAGTTACCAAGATATCTTTGTTCTCTCGAAGTTCTTTTAACTTTTCCACATGTGCTTTTGTCAGCAATCCCTGACTTTTTGGCCCCTTGCTCAGGTTCTGATAACTGCAATTCACCAGTGTTGATTTAAGGTGTTGGATACTGTCTGTGGAAGCGGGCACTAGATCAAAGGTTGGATTCCATAGGTTCTCGAAGTGAGTTTCCAATTCTAACTGATTAACTTTTCAACGAGGCAGGCAAAACTTAGGACCAAGGGATAATGCTTCAAGTGATGTTTTATCAAGTGTCATATAAGAGTGGTTGTGAACGTACCGACTTGGATCCTTCGGAAACCGTGATTGTGGCTTCCTTTCATGTACACTTCTTAGAAGCGCGGAACTCTTTGCCTCTCCGCGTTTTCTTCCTAAAGACTGAGTATAGCTGTCGAACTCTTGTCTTTTGTCGTCTGTCAGGGTGTCTAAGACGGCTGTGCGTTGGCACACGTTTCAAAGTTTCACTCAATTCGATCACTAGAGACAGTCACAGCCCCTTGTCTGCGCCTGTCTCTGACGATGGGTTCAAGTGAGATTCAGAAACGTCAACCTAATGGATTTTTCATTCCAGTGGTCGCATCTTCGTCTTCTGAAATGTTTTCTAGAACCCCGCTGTTGTCTCTTATTTAAATAATGTTGTTGTAAAAATTATCGCGCAGTATGCTCCTAAAATAGTTCAGCCACGCCAGGATATCGGCATTCGAATGAGCTTATTTTAGTCCGTCAACGACAAACTGCACTCTACAGAAATGGCTGCTCAAGTAGCGAGAACCCTTACAGCTGATTTTCCATACCCTTTTAAATTCAGTTATATTTTGTGTAAATTGTATGCAAAATATTCATTTTTGTACACATTTGGTAGCAAATTGTGTTTTTTCTGCATTTTCTTCTTGCAAAAAGAGTATCTTTTTGATTATGAAGGTCATAATTATGACATTTTAACTTTGTGTAATATATATCCATGCAGCATCATACTGGCCTGTTCATTAACGCTGCTTACAAAACATGTAACATGATCCACATTCATTACATTATTTTACGAGCCTTACATGGCGTCTTCCTAAAACCGTAGAGAAATGCGTGATATTCCTCTAGCTGAACGCATGTAGCAAATAATTTGGAAAGTACAGCGGCAGGCAGAAAATTATTCGGGAATCGAATTCTTCAAAAGCTGAAGTCTGCACTCTCTTCTAGTAGAGAGTTGGAAGAATACACAATTTGACACCAAATAAGTGCAAATAAGAAAAGTTTGAATCTAGATGGCTACCTAAAATAAATGTGAAAGTTTGCTACTGCTGAGGTAGTCGTTTCTACAGCGTGTGGTGTTTTACAGGCCGCCAAAAGTAAGCTCATACAAAATTCCTTATTCTGGCGCGACTGAAATATCTGTGGATAATACTGCATGATAGTTAATCTTACAACCCTACCTGAGTTATACTGTCGAATCGAAAAAATATTCCGAAATTCCGGCTAAAATTTCATGAAGCAGCATAATACTTCCTAAATGATATGGCCATGGCTATTAAGACCGTTTTTATTTCAAATAAAGCCAATAACCAAAGAAAAAAGTAATTAGCAGATTGTTTAAAGCAGATATTGCTTCAAGCGACTAACGCATACGGTACCTTAAGGGCCGAAATTGCAGAACACAAAAGGCAGCTAACTGTGATATTTAATTAAAAAACAAAATGGTTGAATAAAAGACAGTTGTTCGTACTAACAGGGAAAATGGTCAATTCATGCATACAGTTAAAGAAAGTGTTCAAACAACTAAAAAAGTATTTTTCCAGTATTTCCCCTAGAGTCGCTCTTGCGGGAGTCCATATTATCCATAAAGCGTGCGGCATTTGAAACAGCCAGTTTGTTGGTAAGGGCGTGCTACTGTACGTGCAAAATTGAAGATATTTTGTAAATAATTTACAGTATTAAATAACATATAATTTCGTGCAGATATAAATTCAAATATACTTTTTGTAAATAGGTTGCATAAGTAAATTACATATACGGTACGTGACCTATCTCATAAATTCTGCTAACGGAAACTGATGAGAGAATTTTCATACGACTTTAACGTGGCGCATTTGGTTCGCTTACCCATATCCTTCAATGAAATATCCTTTCCTTGTTCAGAAATTGTGTTTACATAATTATATCAAGAAAAATATCAGTAAATTTTAGCGAAAATGAACGATGGTTTACATTCGTGCAATTTTCTATGTTAATTCCCGTCATAGACTCCGCTTTCGCATCTAAGCGACTTTTTCACTAAAAGGACAGTAATTTACCCTCAAAAGTTTTAATAAACAGATTGAACCACACCTGAAGTTTTATTTCATGTCCGATGATAATCACGGTTATCAACCTGATAACAAAAAGGTTTTTTTAATAAAACCAGAGGCCTTATCAACTCTTTTATGTCACATTAGGAGATCTGTGCGATTTGGTGTCCTTAAAGGCAATAATAACACGGATAGGGACTCTTCGTTTAAGTGGGCTGAAATATATCAGCTGTTTGGAAAATGCTACCTGATGTCACGTAGATGACCACCACGGAATGGTCAATTCCAGCTTTAAACATATAAAACACTACTTTTCGTGCAGGCTAGCTTCTATTCATATCTCATTCAGAAAAAGAACGAGCAAAACATTAATAGTTTCTGCAAAATATGCGTATTTATATGGGTGCTCTGCCATGGATTTATAATCAAATAACGGAGTTTAAAAGCGATCAAATACAGTGGAAATGATCTCAAAATATAGGGAAAGGCACGTTCTTACTTTCATGATAGAAAGTATTAGTAATTCTCAGAAACGCGAAATCAGCGGCCAAAATTGTCGAATTTTCACTAGGCCTCGCCCTCAAAAAATGCTAAGTACACAGAGATCCGTCGACGGCGTGCACTAATAAAGCAATTCTTAAAGAGGTAACTTATGAAGGAAAGTTTTCTTATTTATCTAAGGCATATTCGTTGATGAATTTCGTTGAGGACAGAATTTTTTATTGAAAATGAAGTCTGATGTTTGAATGAGTCTTCACATGTGACCCAAACGACCGTCTGCGTGAAATGCAGCGCTTGAGCACTCACTTATTCGGTAAATGCCTTCCAGAACAGTCTTATTTTAAATTTCTTAAAAGACAGGTAGTTCAAAATCTGTCTTTATAGACGACTGGGTGTAATCACTGATAATCATGAAGTAATGAGCAATATTTCAATGCCGATTTAAAACTTTACGTAATCCAAAATGAAGGAAATGTATAAATTAATTTAACGATAGTAAAGTTCTGTCCATAAACACAAAATAGTATGTTTACGATCACGCCTGTCAGTTCTGTTTTAATTTATTAGGCACCAACCGGCCTCTTGGCATGTTACCTAATGAAATCTTTTGTTCCTACGACGTCCCTATCGGTGGAATCAAGCAAAATATAGTTTCTTATGTGGAACACGATCCTATTTATTTCAAACTAATAAAATGAAGGAGGACTCACTGTAAAATTGTTTTGGACTCTACACTCAGAATGTAGACAGTTGACAAACCGTCATATATGAAATCACACTACTTATTAAACGATATTTTGATGTAAACTTAACAAAAACACCGTAACTAGACGGTTTTGTTTGTCTACCTTCATATTTACTACGTTTTTTGTATGGCTATACATTCTACTTATCTAAAAATGAACTTTACCTAATAAGAGCCATTGTTGACGTTTTCGGAATATTGCGCTTTTTTAAAAAAAATGGCATTTCTAAACAGCGCAACACCGCTTAAAATATGTCTTTTATTTTTTAAATTATTTTGAACTTTTACTTAATTAACACAGATGTCGGTTTGCGAGTGATTGTAAATCATTCGTAAATTTCGACACATATCATGAGCTATATCACTAACTGTACTTAACCGCTGATTGATGGATGCTGTTTTACCCATTAAGTTCAAGAATTACACCAGGACCAGGCATTTTCACTCTAATTTGTCTAGAAGTTTTCGCCACTGAGCTTTTGTACAGTAAGATGTGCAAAGAAGCAGGTAGCCGGTCGCTTGTGAAAGAAGGCGTAGCAGCAAATTTTAACAAGCTTCCGAATGTTCGGTCCCAAGGTCCCAAAACTACAGTGCTATTCTCCTCCGGTTAATAAAAACTTAAAAGGGGTGCAACCAAAATAAAACTGCTTTGATTTCGCCGGATAGTGTTTTTACGTGGCTTATGCACAGTTGTTGGTGATATAGAAGGACAAGTTAACCGTCACATAGTAGCGGAAGAGGGAGAACAAATTCTGTCAACCCCCAAAGTCCTTGATCCCGCGGTGTTAAGCTTTAGTGAAAAACTCCCTCGGTTAAAGATAAAAGGGGATCAGCCAGAGAAACCAACCTCCTCTTACACTCCAATGTGTGTCGAGCGGTTGTTCGGATTTGCTGTGGGCGCAGGACTAAAATTATTTGGTCAGGGACGGAATTATCGGTCTGCTAGGCGAGCCATAAACATCACAGCACTGAGGCGTGGGGTTGAATGTGGAAGGAAATGCTGCAGAGGACCACATGGCATGCTGCTTTTCATACGCGACATAACAACGAGGTATGACGGTCGTCTTATGCTGAACCCACAATAAGTGAATCGGATCTTGGTGATGGCGGGTTTTGTGAACGGAGAGCTGGGAAGAGCTTAGCTGTGCGTTTTATCC